GACCTCCCACTGGTGTCTTAGATACCAAGCAGGGTCAAATCTTTCTCTTCGGGTATCCTCCTCCATTTCGCCTTGTCAGTCCTCATGGTTGTAGTTGTTTATGCCCTTTTTCACCTGGAAGTTTGTTGCATTCCAGAGTTCTGTTCTAGACATGCTATGTTTGAGACTCCTATTCCACATCCCAGGAGAGATATCAAGAGACAGGTGGAGTTTTGAATATGGAGTTCAGGAAGACGTCAGTGTTCAAGGTGTAAACTTAAACTCATTGATCATATAGAGATTATGTAAAGCCATGGATGGGACCTCCCAGGAAGGAAGTGTAGACAGCTAATGGGGAAATCCATATTTATGTTTATATATATATGCATGTATATACTGTGTTTCCCCGAAAATAAGACCTACCCATAAAATAAGCCCTAACAGGATTTCTAACCAGGATTTCTCAGCATTTGCACAATATAAGCCCTACCCTGAAAATAAGACCTAGTGATGGGCGTGGCTACGCAGTGTATCTGCACAACCCATGCATTTCGTCACCGAGTGGTAAAGATGAGCAGCCCTTCTCATCTGCCCCATAGTGACAGCTACTATCCCAGAGGTGACCGGAAAGGTGCGGGCAGCCCCACCAACAAGGTCAGCTCCCCCTGTCGAGTCCTGGTCATCCCGTGCATGCTGCAAGCTGAGGCTTTGAGGGGAAAATAACACATCCCCTGAAAATAAGCCCTAGGGTGTCTTCTTGAGGAAAAAGAAATGTAAGACCCTGTCTTATTGTCGGGGAAACACGGTACATAACTAACTAACTAACTAACTAACTAACCAACTATACACATTAACTAAACAAGATGCTTTATGTAGCATATAATCATATCTTTATAAGTTTAGCACTCTCAATTCTTGCTATTTTCTCTTTACCTATTTTGCTCTCTTAAGTCTTTGATCTTTGTACAAGTCTTTTATACATTTATGGGTCACACTGTCTAATTTCTGTCCAAACTTCCTAATCATCCTCCTATAAACTCTTTCGTTGTTATTTAAATTGTTCAAATTCCTTGCTCTCCAGGGAACTCCACACACTCCTAGCCAGCCCCAGGCCCCAGTCTCAGTTTGTAAACTGAGTAGAAAAAACTTTGTTCCTCGAATGTGGCAAAGCTGATCCAAATTTTGGCTCTACCACTTACCAACATGTGATCTGGGATCCGAAGAGCTTCCTTCCTCCATCTAATAGGGAAAATAAAACCCTCAAAATGAGAGTTGGGAAGATTAAACAAAGTAATGTATATATATAAAGAGAACAGTTGGAGTTGCAAATTCCCAGTAGGTGTTCAATAATGACGGGTGTTAATTCTTTTGGCATTAGAGCCTTCTCCCACTTTCATTCCAGTGGCTCTTCCATGATTGCCTAAGCTCTTATCTTCAAGCCCAATAATTTCTATTTTAAGTATGTATGTCTTGTTTGTTTGGTGTCTGCCTCACGTACAGACATTTATTAAACACTTACCAGCAGAGGAGGCATAGTCTGATGACGTCAAACTATCCTCTAATCAGGCCTCCATATTTTTATAATTTCCTGGATCGAACTTTCCCGAGCTTCCATTGTAGGTCCTCAGCCCTCTCCATCCTCTCTGCAGCCTTCCTCACCATGCTCCGTACACGTTCTGATTTGGACTTTTTTTTCTCTTCGTGTGAGCGTACCACTTCCAGGAACCCTGCAACTGGAACAGAAGGAATTTGAAACTTGTATTTCAACTGCTGTCATCTCTTCTTCCCTTTTTAAAATTAAACTCAAAAGCAGTAAGCTGTAAAACTATTATGTTACTCCTAATCACCCATCTTTCAAGAGGAAATACATGACCTTTTTATGTTTTTAAGCCTCTAGAACACTTGGGGATCCAACTTCCTCCATTTTCTCATGATAAAAACCAAACCTCCTGCGTTGATTAGCCTTCCTGCTGATTTCATGCTCATGTTCCTACCTGCCCTTGCAGCTTCCTTTCTAAATTTTTTCCAAGAATCCTCAAGAACCTTCACGTTCACATCTTCAATATAGTCTAATTGTCTTTCCCGACAAATTTACAGCTTTGTACTTTTTTGACTCTTAGCTTCTGCTTCTCTAGCAAACACATTAATTTAAATTTTCTCTCCTTTTATTTCATGGAGAGATTGTGGGTGCCAGATGTAAACGAGCACCTTCTCACTATTTATTTTCCATCCTTACTGCCCAGGGTCATTGCGTCACTGTCTAGATCCCTGAGAGTTTAAAAAGCCTATAAAGATGTTTCAGACCAGGGAGGAAATTATTGGCTCCATAACACAAAAATATAACTGCAAAATTAAAACTGTTATATTACTCCAATAGCAAAACTGTGCAGCTCCTTTCAATTCTTAACAGAATAATAATGTGTGTGGAATGTGGATGCGCTTCTACCTCTTCAGATCTTCCATCCCCTCAAATCTGTTTCTTATCCCTTTTCTTCACTCCCTTCCTGCATTCGCTTCCTTCTCTAGATTTCATATTCCATCTCCTCAGTCAGTCTTTCAACTGCGTTCAATTTTTCTTAATCCGTTTGTCTTTTCATTGTATCTACCTGGAAAAACTTCACACCTGAATATAGCCAACCATTCACTTTCCTGCTCTTCAGCAGCTGAACTTGCTGGAGAAGTTCCAAAACTGTGCTAAATGGGGCCACAATAAATTTGCAGTTGCTAACCACGCTGCTCACTACTGCGGAACCACCTATGACATGTCTCTTATCGATCACTTCGCATGCTCATCACAGTAACTTTTCAAGTTCCTCCTCTCTCCTCAAACATCTGACTGGCCCAACTCTCCTTTCACTCTCAACAGATGATTCACCTCCTTCTTCAGAAAGTAAATTTAAACCATCATACACGAAATACCTCATCTTCTAGCCCACATGTCTAGAAATATACATGGATATCAACCATCCTATAGCAGTTTCTTTAATAAAGAAGAATTGTGCCCTCCCATCATGTTTGAAATTCCATTGCTTCCCATTTTCTTGGGCCATTCTCACTTAATTATCTCTTAATTCCAGTATCTTCCACCTCTTCCTCTCTCTCAGCTACTTCTCAGTCAACTGCTTTCATTCTTAAAAATACCTCCTATAACTCTACCTCCCCTTCACAAAGTGGTTATCACTCTATTTCTCTCCTCCACTGGTAAGAGAAGCATAACTTCTGTTTTTTGGGGGTTTTTTTCCCAATAATTGAGTAGATTTTTAGAACCAGCCAATTCATCAGGTTCACATAAAATGATAAAAACCATGATTACTATACTGTTCAATTTTACTAATTGTATGCATTGAAGTTTGATTTATTGAACAGCCCAAAATACATTTCTTCTTTTACCTGGGGTGAACAGTAGAACCAGCCAGGCTAAGCCCAGGGAGCTGGTGTTATAAAAAGCAATCCTTGTCCTGTCCCTGGAGGCAAAATCTCTATAATCACTTGTAGAGTCTGTTCTGAGTTGTGTCCTGAGTAAGTCCATCCTCCTTGTTGTCCCTGTAATGTGGGATACAACTTCCCATGCATCCGCTGAGAAACAAAAGGTCCCTGAAAGGCCACTGAAGTGACCTGATATGTGGCTATCCAGGTTTCATAGATTTTTTTTTTTTTTGGTTGGTCACCTTCATTTGGATTGGTTGAACTCATCAGCTATTCATATATTTTGTTTAATGAGGTTTAAATTAGATAAATAGAGCTGCTTCTGGGAAAGAATTGTAGTGCTAATTAACACACTTATTTTTCACAATCTGAGTTTAAAATACAAATTTCGCCGTAAGGGGTCCTCAAGTGCATGGTGTAAACAACATTATTTGATCAATCACACTATACCTCTGACTTTATCTCCCAGGCCTCATTTAAATCCGGGTTCTCAGCTGGGTGCGATGGCTCACGCCTGTAATCCTAGCACTCTGGGAGGCCGAGGTGGGAGGATTGCTCAAGATCAGGAGTTCAAGACCAGCCTGAGCAAGAGTGAGACCCTGTCTCTACTAAAAATAGAAAGAAATTAGCTGGACAACCAAAAATCTAAAAGAAAAAATTAGCCGGGCACGGTCGCACATGTCCGAAGTCCCAGCTACTCGGGAAGCTGAGGCAGGAGGATCACTTGAGCCCAGGAGTTTGAGGTTGCTGTGAGCTAGGCTGATGCCATGGCACTCTAGCCCAGACAACAGAGTGAGACTCTGTCTCAATAAATAAATAAATAAATCCAGGTTTTCTTCTCAAGGCTCCATGGGGGCTGCTCTCATACCTGCACAGACACCTTAAAGTCAACAGGTCTAAAGACAGAAGTCATGATCTTCTCCCTCAAACCTGCTTCCCTCCCAGGATTCCAGAGCCCAGTAAACAGCTTTACCCTCTACCTAGATGAGAATACCAGGGGTCTCCCTAAATTCCTTCCTCTTCCTAATGCCTGAAATCCAATCGAATATCAAGTCCCTCCCATTTTACCTTTCAGATATTCCTTGAACCCATCTCCACTGCCTCCCTCCAGGGCGTTCCTTCCACTGCAGCCTAAATAGTCTTTTTCAAAATTCATATCATCATGTCCCTTTCTTGACTCTTAGGATAAAGTCTCAAATCCTTAACGGCTTGCAGGAAACTCCATGGCCTGCCCTGGCCTACTTTTCTGGCCTCCCCATTGCCACAGGACTCCTAGCTCTCCGCACTGCAGCCGCGCTGTGTCTCTTCACTTCCTCAAACGCACTATGCGCCTTCCCACCCCTGGGTCTTGGCACGAGCTGTCCCCTGCCTGATATGCCCTCTTTTCTTTCCATTCATCTAATGCAGGCGTCCTCAAACTACGGCCTGAGGGCCACATGCGGGTGTTTTTGCCCATTTGTTTTTGTACTTCAAAATAAGATATGTGGCAGGAAAAAAAATAAATAAATAAAAATACAAAATAAGATATGTGCAGCATACATAGGAATTTGTTCATAGTTTTTTTTAAACTATAGTCCGGCCCTCCCACGGTCTGAGGGACAGTGAACTGGCCTCCTGCTTAAAAAGTTTGAGGACCCCTAATCTAATGCCTGTTCATCCTTCTGAGCTCGGCATAGGGGACACTGTCTCAGGAAAGCTTCCTTGACTTTCTACAATAGGTTATGTTAATCTACCATGTGCTCCCCATAGCACTCTGTGCTTTTTTTTTTTTATTGTTGAACTTAGTTATTTAACATTCTTCTTCTTCCGTTAGAATACCTGTTCCATGAGGACACTAATGTGTCTATATCATTCATGGCTGCCTCTGCAGGGCCTTGACGATGCCCAACACAGAGTCAAGTCTCAATAAAGAGTTGCCGATTAGGTGACTGAAACACAGCTCTTCCTAGTTAAGGATTCCATTTGCAATCCAGCTAAAACCTAAGCACCATAATGCATCATATTTGTGCTTTCCTAAAGCCCTTCGACCTTTATTTTCCATTTCACAAAGCTTGTTATGTGTATAACATACTACCCTCTTCCTCTTTTCCGTCTTCTCAATGATATGTCACAAATTGATGTATTTTTATTGGGTGAGGCCCAGTAATCTCCCTGTTTATAGCTCTGACCTTTCTGTGCGCAAACACACAAAGTGAACTTTGGTTTATCTCCTACCATAATGTAGCTGCTAATTACTGGCAGCAGGCTGTACTCCACCACCCACGTGACTGGTGGGGCATGACCAGAACGGAGCACCGAGAACAGCGGACTGAGGGACTCAGCTGGAGGCTGTCCGTCTGGATTTTCTGCCTCCCTTGAAGCCCAGAGCAAAGCAAGTGGGCACAAGGAGTATGGTTCTGACGTACCCAAGGTCATGAAGACACCACTGTTGGGCTTGGCTTTGTGGTCACTGCTTCTCCAGCCCGGGCTGACATTATGGTCCAACCAGGTGAGTCAAAACTGCCACAATGGCAGCTACGAGATCAGCGTCCTGATGATGAACAACTCAGCCTTCCCAGAGCCCCTGGAAAACTTGAGAGATGCGGTGAATGGTGGGCTGGAAATAGTGAGAGAACGTCTGCAAAAGGCTGGTAAGAAGAAATTCATTGTTGCAGTTCTTCATTGTATCTTTTAACTATGAGCATAAATTTTAGAATGCTACAAAAAATAAAGGGGAAAAACCATCCATGATAATTTCCAGCTACCTGGATGTTTCCAGTCTACTTTCATATGCTTCTTAGTTTCCTGTTTTTAAGAACATGATTGGTGATCACTATGGCATAGAAACAATTTTGTATCCTTCTGGTTCAGTTCATATTTTCCCACAAGTGAGTTTCATATAGTTGCTTACTCTTCATAGTCATCATGTGAATGGATGGATAATATCATTTTGGAATATATACCTCCCAAATTACCTAGTAATTTCCTATTGTGGGATATTTCATTTGTTTTTAATTTCTTATGATTGTTTTTGTAATGCTACAAGAAACATTTCATGTATGTAGTTTTTCTCCATACCCTGAGACTAGATTACCAGCAGTAGAATCACTGAGTCAATGAGTATTTAATATATCTTAATGGTTATTTGTGGTTTTAAAGGTGGTATATTTTGATTTTCTCTATTTGAAATCTTATGGAAATAAGGGCAACAGTTCAGATGTGTATAATAACTTCCTTTTGTGCACATACATCTTTTCAATTTTGTCTGAAACTAGATTCAGATGTAAATGAATAGATCTGATCTAAAGCTATAACAAGTAGCTCATGTACCAAGGCAGTGTGGTATAGTAGACAGAACATTGGATTTGAGGATCAGGATTGGGGTCCCTACACCAAAGTTTTCTCTCTCTGTGATGCTAGCAAGGTAAGGTCCCCCTTAGTCTCTCTGAGACTCGGTTTCCCTATTTATTAGGTACCTGTCATATGCTAGGTGAGTTCTAGGTACTTTAATTACATCATCTCCTTAATCCCACGGCTCTGGGAGGTGAGCATAGTTGGCACTTCTTTCACGAGAAGAGGTTTAACAGCTTTGCAAAGGTCATATGGATTGTCTGAAGTGAAATTCCAAGCCATATCTATCTGGCCACTCTTTGACCATGCACTCTTTTGGAATCCACTGTAAAATCTTTATGCAGCATGAACTAACCTTCTCATTAAAACAAGGCAGTGGAACATTATGGTTAGACGCAGAGATTTGGAACCTGACAGCTCTTGGCTCGTATTCCTGTCAGATCATTTACCACAGGTATGACCTTAAGCAAGTTCCTTAGGTTTTCTGAACTTCAGTTCCCTCACCTATAAAATCAGGATAAGTAGTAATTACCTCATGTGGATAGAGTGTGGATTCAATCACAAAATTCATATAAAGTACCCCATACACTGAGTGAAGGATATTAAGAACTCAATAAATGGTAGTTGTTTTTATTGTTGTTGCTGTCATTGTTGTTATGGATGTTAATGTTAGGAGAACACATTGCCAAGCACATAAAATAAGTAGTATGAAGTAGTTAATGTCTTGGTCTCTGAACTCATACAACCTGGGTTTGAAAACCTACTCTGTCACTTAACCAGCTGAGTGACATTGGGTGAGCTATTTATACTCTCTAAGTTTCACTCATGTCATTTGTAAAATAAAGTTATTGTTGGTGAGGTTGTTGAATGGATTATACAAGTGGCGAGTGGGAGTTCTATGGAGACGGAGGAATAAAGAATGATGCCCAGATTTTTGCATTTGTTATGTATTTTGTTGGATGGATATTTATGAATAATAAACACAGAAGGAGCAGATTTGGGGGAAAAGATAGTTCATGTTCTATTGAGCATTATTATTTGGGAACAATTCTAAGAGAATATATCTGAGGGCTAAATTGAAGAAACTTAACAGTTCAGAGGTTGTGGGTGATATTCAAAAAGAAGTGATCAATATTTTTTCTAGGACTTAGGAAAGCTTTGTAGGTCTTGGAGAACAGAATTTGTTGGAAAACAACATAATAAAAGAGATTCCTTCAATCTTAGGACATCACTTCCTTGGGGATGTATGTTACAAGGCTAATCTCATGGTCCATACCTTATGTGTGCTTCCAAGTCCTGAAGGGGGGCTCTCTCCTACTCCAGCTTCATGCTGGTCCAAGGCCTTCTTTAAAACCCCAGATAGCAGAAGGAGAGTTCTGAGATCACACTATATTGTTCAGCTTTCTACCATCTTCCTAGGACTGAGATATCACAGTGGAGGAGAGAGCACAGGTAGTAGAGAGATGGAAAGGAGCAGTTGGGGAAAGAACTTGTTTTACAAATTAAACTTTGAAGTTATGCCATTGTCTGAAATACATTCAGTATATTCTTGAGAAATCATTTGAGATTTGGAGAGATAAAAGGCAGTCTATCTCCCTCACCAAATTAAAAACTGAAACAAAATGGTACACATAACTGTAAACTAGGGAGGGGGAACATGTTACAGTATGTTCTGCAGAAGTGGTTCTCAAATGTTTTGGTCTCAGGACTTCTTTAAACTCTTAAAAATTATTGAGGGCTCTGGAGAGTTTCATTTATGTGGTTACGTGTATGAATATTTATTGCATTAGGAATTAAAACAGAAATTTTTTTCACTCATTCTTTATTTTTTAAATTTATTTTTTATTGGTATATATTTCATGGGGTACAAGTTACAATTTCACCACATTGATACATTGCATGTGGTGATGTCAGAGCCTTAGTGCATCCATCACTGGAGCTATGCACATTGTACCCACCAAGCGACCTCCCATCATCCACCCCACAACCCTCCCCAATCTCCATTATCCATCATTCCACACTCTTCTTCTGTGTATAACCATTATACAATGTTATAAAAAAAAAAAAAAAAAACAACTTTTGCATGATAATTGAGGATCATCCTTTGATCTTCCAAAAAAAAGAATCTCTAGTTTCATTAATAAGAAATGAAGACTATGTTCTTATAAGGCACAAAACAGTGGCTGCTTCATAAATAGAACAGTTGGACAAGCTGTGAAGAGCACAGATAAACTGCATAAGGTGATCTATTGCAGAAAGAAATTCTGTCACCCCTTGTGACAGAAAAAAAAATAGTCCTTTAAAAGTAGGGGCTGTGACATAAGCAAAATAAAAAAATTGAAATAGTTTGTGTAGCCACTGCCTGAAAAATCACACCATGATAGTTGGTCATATTTGGTTAACTCCAGTGATTCGTTCTCCACAGAGAGAAAACCCCATAATCAAAATATGGTGAGTTTTCTCCTGAGATTCCTCAGGACCATGAAACAGTGGGCCCAAGTTTGTTAAGCAGGAATTTGAGATCAAGTAGCTTAACTTTCTTGAGAAAGAGAAGTATACTAATATTAGGTGAACTCGTAGCTTACTTGATGAGGATAGATCTTGTAAACTATTGGTGAGTAATAAGTAATAGTATTAGTATAGTATAAGTACTTTATAAATAGTAATGTATTTACTATACTTTATATAACTTTACATACTTACTATACTCTTACTATAACTATACTTTACATACTATAATTAGTATTTATATAGTAATAGTAACTTAGTAAATAGTAATATAAATACTACTATTACTAAAGTACTATACTATACTACATAGTTATTTACATTACTTTACGTTACTCACCAATAGTTTACAAGAAGGAAAACAATACCTCTCACTTGGCTGCTGTATATGACTATTGCTCTAGTAAGTCATTACTTAAAAGCAAATTTGAAGAATATATTAAAGTTGGCCTAATGGCTTCAAGCAGTCATAAAATGGTGGTCAGAATTATCATCCAAAATACCAAATTATAATGATGGAATATCAGATTTTTTTTATTTTGGCATATTATCGGGGGTACAAATTTTAAGGTTCAAACAATGCCCTTTCTCCCCTTCCCCCACAGAGTCTGAGTTTCCAGCATGACCAATCCCCCCAGATGGTGACATCTCACTCATATATATGTATACTACCCCCCCCTGCCCCCCTGCCAATACCCTATTACTGTAGTTCCTATGTGTCCACTTAGGTGCTGCTCAGTTAATACCAGTTGCTGGTGAGTATATGTGATGCTTGTTTTTCCTTCTTGGGAAACTTCACTTAGTAGTAATGGGTTCCAGCTCAACCAGGAAAATACAAGATGTGCTATATCAACATTGTTCTTAGAGCTGAATAGTACTCCATGTATATCATATGACCACATTTTATTAATCTGCTCTTAGATTGATGGGCACTTGGCTGTTTCCACAGCCTTGCAATTATGAATATCATATTTTAAAACAATTAGTGGATATGGGAACAAGAAAACCATCTTCTTTGGTTCTAGGATATACTGGTAATATTTATAGCTAAGGAAGTAGATGCTTAATATCACAATTGCATTGATAAATTTAATCTACTAAAGAGCATTTGGTATCAAAACATCCCTGGACTATATGATTTAAAAAACCATCTATCTGAGTCCTGTAAATTGTGCAGAAATGACAACCATTTTTTTGTCTTTTAAAAAGCCACATAATGGCCAGGTTTGGTGGGTCACGCCTAATCCTAGCAACTTGGGATAAGGGTAGCCTCTAGAACAGGCTTAAGTGAAGCCCTAAAGAAGCAGTTTATTGAGCGACGCTTTCCTAGTGACACAAGTAAGTACAACCGCTAATATGAGTTGCTCTTTCATGTCCTCACAGTTGGAGGCACCCCTCCACCCTTTTTAAACCAGAAGACCAGGTGACCCAACAACAACTGGCAGAAAAGTAGAAGAAACCCTATGAATCCTCTGACAACTCCACACCCCCATTAAAATTGTCAGGAGTAAAAACCTTGGGTCCATCATCTCCAGAAAGAAGAGTGTCGCATGGAAGAAAAGGACCCATAACCCCAGGGGATTGGCCAACCCTTTAGGTGATCTAAAGTATCTGTATTAGAAGAAGGAAAATGAAAATGTTGATATTTTTGCTAACCTTTCTTTGGTTATTTGCTCTGTCCTATAGGATGGAAGACAACTCGAGGTTATCACCTCTTCTTGCTGATCAGTCTCAGGGCGTGGTTTGCCATCCAAACCTCATTTGGTATTCTGTATATGATTTCTGATTTGCA